TAAAGACGGAGAGCAGCCGGCCGGGCCGACCTTCGCTCAGCTCGCTCCATTAAGTCCCAAAAGAGTTTAACGTCACCGTGGAGAGTCGAGCTGGTGGAGAAAATGTATGCTGGTCACTTTATTTATCTGTAAGTCACATTCTAGATGTGACACACGTTGTAAAAACCTGAAAGTTCAAGGAACCTTCAACCAATTTCACATGAGCTTCATCGGTGAATCAGTTTGTTCAGATCAGCTCAGAATCTGTTGATGATTTAATTCACATCACTTTTAGAACTTCTCATCTTTAGTGGCCTTAAATTCATACTATAAGTGTTAAAAAGTTCATACTATAAAGTTCATATACTATGTTGAAAGTAAGCAGACCTTGAGTTTGGAAGAGAGCTCAGTTTAGACGGAGAAGTTCTTTAGAGTTCTTTAGTAGAGTAGAACTTCTTTCAAGAAATAGAAACATGCTCAATTACTTTCTTGCTGAAATTTAGAGATTGACACCAGTCCGTCTGTTTAATATGAAGCTAGGGCCAGCAGGCGGTTAGCTTAGCTTAGCATAAAGACAGAGCAGTGGGAAGCAGCTAGCCTAGCTCTGTCCAAACTGTTTTTACAGATTTAATAAAAAAGATAAAAACTTGTTCATGAGTTACCTTTAGAAGTGATTTTATTTTGTAACCTTCAGACACAGCCAGGCTAGCAGTTTCCCACTGCTTTGAGTCTTTATGCTAAGCTAACTTGCTAACTGCTAGATGATCTCCAACTTGTCCAAAAATGTGTAATAATTCCTTCAAGTTGCATGAGGATGCTGTTTCCAGAGGACACTTAAAAGTGATGCACGCAGCTGGGATGACTTGTTGTTGTTTGAGTTTGGATATTAAAGTCGGGGGGGGGGGGCGATCACCTTCTTTTTGTTTATTCTAACAATGCGATGACGTGATCCAGACAATATTGCAGATGTCTGCTGTTAGCCTAGCGTTAGCCTTTTTGCTAATTATTATAACTTCAGAATCATCCGATCAATGACGACTTCAATAACGTCACAAACAACAACATCAATAAATGTTGTCCCGGCCGTGTGCATCGTTGTTTAGTGTCCTCTGGAAACAGCGTCTTGCAGCGTTTGTCGTTTTTGTCGTCACATCGGTGATTGTGTCGTCCGGTTGGTGGAGATCTTTCTTCTTCTTCTGTTTGTGTCGTGTCTATTTTAATCCGCAGTGCGTTGAGCTCTCCGGGCCACCGTAGTTGATCCCTGATGTCAGAGCCTCGTGTTGTGGAAATATGAAGCGGTGTGGAGTTGAGCTGTTGATACCGTCATGGCTGACTTCATCCTCTCTGTGTTTTCAGAAGGCTTTCTCTCCCACAAAGAGAGATTATATCCACCCCCCCCCCCCACACACACACACACACACACGAAGGTTTCTGCTGTTGTTTTTCAGTTCACTTCACATTAAATCAATGACCTCACATAGTAGTCAACAGGACGTTTTAATCCTATTTCACACAGTATAGTTACAGGAGTTAGTACAGTTTAGATGGAATTAGATGTAAAGTCAAAAGCAGAACAACTTCCTGTGGATTGAAACTTTCATGATGGTCCACTTTGGAAAACCACTTTCAAATGAGGCCAAAAAGAGTCCATTTAAATGAAGACACACTCCTGTGTGTCTGGTGAAGACTCTGTGCTACATCACCTCTGATACGAGCAGCCATGCTGCATGCTAAACTGAAGGTTACGTAAAGTGTACGTATTGTGTTTCTTGTTTAAATGTGAGAGTAAATATTCGTTCAAACTGTTTATGGGTTGGAAATAAAGATGATTACAAGTCTATAAATTTTCAAATTCACAGTCAAAGTCGGTCATTCTGCAGAGGATGTACTTCCACTGCCGATCTCTGAAACAAAGCACAAGACAACACGTCAGTCAGTTTGTTCTGCCAATAAATTCTGGTCCGAAGATCTTTTCTCTGGATCCAAACCGCTGCTTCGTGGGATTCAGACATTATTAGGAAATGAACAGATGTTGAGAGATGAACCTTAACACTCCGCTGAAGGTGGTCTGAGCTCCCCGGATGAAGTATCCATAAGAAGGAACCACAAGCTCCGCCTCCTCTCTGAAGTGTTCGGGAATGTCGCTCGTCTTCCTGCGGAGGGCAACGACAAGTTCAGTATTAAAGCGTTGAAAAGATATTGTTAAATATACTGGTTAGCTTTCCTGCAGAGATTTAGATGAAAATATATCAAATCTGTAAATATGAAAGTACAGCAGGAGACGGTTAGCTGATCAATATATTGTATCGTGTTTGTTTTAAATTTCTCTGCAACGAGAAGTGACTTCCTGGCAGTGTGCACGGATGTATGATGATTATCGTATTTGTACGATTATTTTGTCCTCTGTACGATATACAATCAATAATACCAAAAGTGTGTCAATGTACGGTAATATGACTTTAACAATTATAATGATTTAAATAACCACAATTTGTATTCATTTCCAGAGAGCAGAATATGTCCGTATTTATGTCTCCCTTGTCATGTGACCTCTCTCCAGCCAATCATACTCCGTCAAAGAGATTCATCCGATCAGCTGACTCAGCCTCCTTTAACAATAAATAAGTAAATAAAAAACGATATTCAATTTGTAGGCACGTCAAAAAGTTGTTTAAATATGATCTAATTTTACTTTTACGCCTATTTTTTCTCGTGGTTATGATTCACTCACGTATGATCATTTTTCACAAAATCCGAATTGTTTTAAGCCTCTGAGACGATAAAATTAAATTGAGTTTACACTTTATGTACAAACTAAAAGTATATCTCTTTTGTTTCAATCTGTGAGCTGCAGTTATTTTGCTAACCTCCTTACTTCCAGACTATATGCTAAGCTAAGCTAACGCATAGACTGTATATAGCTAGACGTAGTTGTCATGGTTTTGTGGACTGCCGTTTTGAAGCTCAGAGTTCGCTGTTTTCATTTTGTTTTTTTTGCAACCAGTGAACAGGAAGTGAGCATATGTGGACTGAGGAGGAGTGATGTAGAGACGCCATATACATCTCTGGTAGAGACCTGTCAATCACCGTGTAGCCCCGCCCTAAAGCATCCCCTGCTTTATGGTCCCCCTGGTGGACACTAGAGAGAATGCAGCTTTAACACATGAAGCTTTGGCTTCACTTTAAAGAACCAGAGGTTGACTCCTGAGATAACCGTCTCCTGTTTCATATTGAACGACAGATACGAGAGTGGTATCAATCTTCTCATCTAATTCTTAACTTATCTAAGAAGAAAGACGAAAGAACATTTTGTTTCCCAAAATGACGAACTCCTTTAACAAAGCCGTGTGAGGACGTACATGCAGGAGTAGGGGCATCGGCGTTTGTAGTAGCAGCAGTAGAACTGCCATTCCCGGTCCAGGACTGACTCAAAGTACTTGCTTTGAATGCCGGCCACCAGGCCGTTACGAGTGCACGTTGAACTCCTGCAGAAAGGCAAACAAGAGACATTTAAATTCCTGACACAGAAGATAATCTCCACACTGTCCTGTTACCGACATTCTTTTCTCTGCTTTCAAAACGTTGAAGAGATAAAACTACTCAGACAGAGAAAGTGCATCTCTCTGGTTTGAGGTAAATGGTGGTTTGTTGACAGGGTGGCTTTGTTTATGGCCCATAGACTTCACTGTCACCACAACAACATGTGACAATACCAGGACCGAGCAGCCGGAGCTTCACCACGTGTGGACGTTTGTCATGGAAACACCGACTCGGCCGTCTATGCAGCCGGTGGGGGTCGTTTCCCTGCAGGGACAACGGCCCAACGGGTGTAATTCAAACAGACAGCTCTGATAATGAGAGGCAGGCGTGGTTTGTCTTTGAATCACTGGCTGGACTCCAAATCAATCTAAAGAGCACAAATACAAAATCCCTCCAACCAGAACAAGTGAGGTGAAGCAGACTTTATGTATGACTCAGGCTGCTGTTTACACCGAGATGCTGGCCTACAGGTCTCCCTCCTAACAGGTCTCATCCAGCTCCTTCAATCAGATCAAACCTTACGAGCGCTCAAAGTTTGTGCAACATGTTGTATTTGCGCAGTGGATTTTGGTTGACTTGTCTGTTTTTTTCTATCTTGTTTGTGTGAATGACGTGATCCACATAAAATGTCGAGGAAAATGCTGCTGCAAGTGGTCCAAAAACCCCACAATGGGATGTCCTTGAAGGGCTGCTGGACGGATCTTTGTTAAGATTCACTGGAGGAAGTCGTGTTCCCAGGAACTGTCAGTTTGATTCATGCAGGAGGACCTGGCTTTGTTCAACGTTTATGAAGTTACTAAAAGATAAACATGTGGAAAGTGTTGAGGCATTCTGTTCTACAGAACATTTTATTAAACATTAACCCTCTGAACCCCAAAGCAGTTTTCAGGGTGTTTGTTGTCTCTGTGGTCTTGATGTTCTCTGTAGTATAAAGTCCTGCTGCTCTATAGAACCATCATGAGTAGAAGCAGAGAGAACTAGAACATGTCTTTAGTGAGAATAACAGTTAGAATGACATAAAGCATGAAAATAAAAAAACACAAGTTAAATTACTTTGATAATATATTTTACAAAAATTAGAAAACAATGGAATCTATAAATCCAACATGTTCCACGTGTCCACAAGATGATGGAGGCTCTACGTTCTGTTTATATTAAACTCTTGACATGTTTCATCCTCTCTCTCCTCTCCTCTCTCCTCTCTCTCCTCTCCTCTCTCTCCTCTCTCCTCTCCTCTCT